GCGCATTTTTTCAGAAAATAAATTTGGTTGAATGATCGTAATCATATCTCACTCCTTTCATTTTGGTAAGTGCATAGTTGTCTGTTCATAGAATGTACTGAGGCCGGGAGAGCTGTTTGCTTAAGGACCGGGGATTAGTTAAACTTAGCGCTTGTTGCCAGTGGTGAATTACATTTGTAGAGTCAATCATTCGGAATGTAAATCTGTCTAAATATGGCTTCAGAACTCGTTGCTCTTTCATATCCTGTGCTGTTCTTTTACTTGGCCTTGTAAGCAAACTTAGAAATCATGCTTTATCAGATGCTGTTGAATGGTATCACGTTATGTGTGGGGGGTTGGAAAGAGTTTTGAAATTAAGTTTTATTTTGTCTTTCTTTTGATTGAAATTGTATAACTTCATGAATCTATTTTATCATTGGAGGAAAGTTGTTGAAATTCACTAGTGTTTAATTCTAATGTTCATAGACCCTGCTGTTATTGGCATTTCTATCTTGTTTGGCATGAATACAAGGAGACACAACATCATTAATGAATGCAGCCATAATAAGTAAGCAATTGACCAAATAGCAGTTGGTATTCTGTGATCCTTCATGAATATTTACAATGTGATAGCTTTGTAAACATGAACAAGTCACAAGAAGTGCTTGAACTTAGAAAAAATAGATTTTTTTATTTGTATTTTTTTCTAAACATTTGCATAAAACTAATAAATACAAATAACTTCTATGTTCATATACTACATGTATCTAATATGCTGGTGCATTTCTCATCATTACTAGATATAACAGTAATTTTTATTTTTATTTTATTTTTATTTTTTTTTTTTTTTTTAATTTTTATTTTTTGTTTAGGCCACACAAAAATGATGGAAAAATGCCGTATGTAGTCCACATGTAGTTCAGTATCTGGGTCTTTATTCATAGCTAGATTGTTTTTTCAGGTTTTGCCTCATTTTATTGACTTGAGGAGCAGTACAGTTGCATGTAATATATGAGTATTATGAATGTTTTGTTGAATTCACCATATCCCATTTAAATAGACCTGAAATTTTCTAATTTTGGAGAGACCTGACTTGTAGGTATTTATGGAAAGTGTAATATTCAAGAGATAGGCTTATAAACTTATTCCTGTGACGTTAAAAGATTGCAATTCTGATGGTAATTGTAAGATTTTCAAATAAGACTTCTGAGATATCTGTTTTCCATTTGCGTGAACTAGGACTCATCTGTAAGTAGACTGAAAGTGATAGTTTTTTTTTTATAGCACATGTTACACTAACAATTGTCAAGAACACCTGAGCAGCACTTTTCACAAGGTATTGTGTGTAGGTGGTCCACTGCAACTGTGTTGGATGGAAATAAATTCATTTTCATAATCACTATTTTTATGCATGTTATTTGTGTGTCTGTTTGTAGTAAATTTGATGTTGTAATAAACATCTATGATGATTTAGACATAGATTATTATAATACTTTGTTATAATTATGTAACTGTGACTTCAGATGAAAGAATAGGGTATTTAGTTAGTGAAGAAGTGGAGAGAAGGTAGAAGCCAGTTACTCGAAATGCTGGTAAAAATAGGATACTCTCTGATCTTTTATTTTTGTCAGAACATGTGTAATGTGTATACCTTCACACTACACAAAATTGATGTGACACAGCACTGATTTTAGTGGCATTTCAGAATTTTAAAGACACTTCTCAAGTTCACTTATTTCTGTCGTTTAGAAACTTGAGTCACTTTTCCACCCCTTATTGAATGTAGTTATCCATAACTCTTAAAAGAAATCGTCACTGTAAGTGTCACTTGTACTTAAATCACTGATATTTGTATTGCACTGAATGTCATGATCCATCATCTAATTTTGGTTTGATTTTTTTTCTCTACCATCGTCAAAGAGAATATTTCTATGTTTAATAACTTCCATTTCCTAAAAAAAAAGAGAAAAATACTTGTCGATGATTTAAGGAAGATTACAAAAATTATGATGCAGAAATAAATATTTGTATTTATGTTGATCGCTGTAGTTTTGTAATTTAAATGTGGGAAGAATAGCGTACTTTGCATCTTAAGAAGATTATTGCGCTCTTGTTCTTCTTGGAGCATAAAGGGTTCATTGACATTATTTTTTGGTAAGGCAGGATGAAGTCTTCTCACGTATATTTCTCCCTTTGGTGTTTATAAGTAATTTGATCACTTAATGTGTTTTATTTTTTTGTTTGGGTTAGGGTATGTTAACTGGAGAAAAATGCTAGTTAGCACTTACTCTATATTGATTGTACTGAAAAGAGTTTCACTTCATTATGTACATTTAAAAAAGATAGAGGTGTTTTTATATGTTCAAGTTATATGATAAGATATTTTAGGATAATTTAACCATTTAACAATATTTTGTGATGTTCAGATATGTATTTTTTGTGATGCTCTTTTTAATAAATCTCTTGGACTTGCTTTACAGGCAGCATTGATGCCAGAAAACGGCGTGCTGGTTCCTTAGGGTAAGTACCAAAAGATATCTTTTCTTTCCTTGTCTTTTGTCTTTTCTTGTATTTTCTTTTTCTTCTTCTTTTTCCTTTTATTGTGCTGGGCTATTTTTGTCATCAGGCTGAAAGGTGTTACATTTTACTCAATATTTTATATATTGAAAAGTTGAACAGGAGAAAAGTATGGATTTTTTTACAAGCTGTTTTGAGTCTTACTCTCTTTTGATGGGATTATTGATATGAAAAAAAAGGTAATTGGTTTTGTGATCAGACGCCCATTTCAGTCGTGTTTGTTGGTTGTATAACAAAGGCGGTTTGAAGTCGTGTGTATAAAATGAATATGAAATTAATTTCTCTGCATAAATGGGCATGCACTATTAGTATTGAAGCAAGAGGAATTTTCTGGGCATGAGTGAAATTTATCATATTGCCATTTATTCCTCTTCAGTTCTTGACTCTTTTCTATCGTTTTTTTGTGTATTTATTTTCTTATTTTATCTACTCTATGTCGTAGATGGTATATAAATATAGGTTTTAAAAACATGTTATCTCAGTAAACTTTTCTAAGTAGGAAAAAATCTCTTCCTCCCTGAGGAGAGGAGAGGGAGAGAGGGAAAGAATTGGAGAGGGAGGAGAGGGAGAGAATCGAGTCTAAAGGAGAGGGGAGAGAGGGAGAGAATCGAGGAGAGGAGAGAGGGAGAGAATCGAGGCTAGAGAAGAGGGAGAGAGAGAGAATCGAGGGGAGAGGGGAGAGAGGAATCGAGGCTAGAGGAGAGGGGAGAGAGGTCGAGAGAGGAGAGAATCGAGACTCGAGGCTCTCAGAGAGCGAAAGGAGAGGGGAGAGAGGGAGAGAATCGAGAGGGAGAGGGGAGATCGAGGCTAGAGAGAGGGAGAGAGGGAGGGAATCGAGGCTAAGAGAGAGGGGATCGAGGCTTTCGAGAGAGGAGAGAGAGGGAGAGAGAGAGATTCGAGGCTAGAGGAGAGGGAGAGAGGGATCGAGGCTAAGGAGAGGAGAGAGGGGAGAGAATCTAGAGGAGAGGGAGAGAGGGAGAGAATCGAGGCTAGAGGAGAGGGGAGAGGGAGGAATCGAGGCTAGGAGAGGCGAGGCTAGAGGAGTCGAGGCTAGAGGAGAGGGAGAGAGGGAGAGAGAGGCTAGAGAGATCGAGGCTAGAGGAGGGGAGAGAGGAGAGAATCGAGGCTAGAGAGAGAGGGAGAGAGGGAGAGAATCGAGCTCGAGGCTAGAGAGAGAGGGAGAGAACGAGGCTCGAGGCTAGAGGAGATTAGGCCAGGCTAGAGGCGAGGCTAGAGGAGAGAGGGGAGAGAGGTCGAGGCTAGAGGCTTTCGAGGCCGAGGCTAGAGGAGACTAGGCGGGGAGAGAGAGGAGAGAATCGAGGCTAGACGGGCTCTTCGAGGCTAAAGGGGGAGAGAGGGAGAGAATCGAGCAGTGCCAACAGTGAAATTTGCCTCGTTAAGTGAGCAAATTACCTCTTTTCGGGCATTATTGCGGGTGGCGCTGGGTGATGCAAGATCTCGGTTGCATCATCTGCTGGGCATGGTTTGGCATTTGGAGGATTTTTCAGATTTTTTTTGCCTCATTTTTTTTTTTTTTTTTTTTTTTTTTTTTTTTTTTTTTGTTTTTTGATTTTGAGGATGTTGCTGGCGAATCGTGCGTAAGAGTGAATTTGTTTTATGTTTCCGTTAGTTTTTTTTTTTTATTACCGTTTCCTTTAAAGGTCGTTGGATTTTAGGGTAAGAGAGAGAGAGAGAGAGAGAGAGAGAGAGAGAGAGAGAGAGAGAGAGAGAGAGAGAGAGAGAGAGAGAGAGAGAGAGAGAGAGAGAGAGAGAGAGAGAGAGATAAGAAAGGTTGGAGGAGAGAGAGAGAGAGAGAGAGAGAGAGAGAGAGAGAGAGAGAGAGAGAGAGAGAGAGAGAGAGAGAGAGAGAGAGAGAGAGAGAGAGAGACGACAGGGGAAATGACCAACGGAACCGCTAAAGACGCGTCCCCCCTCCCATTCACCCCACCCCACACCCCCCAAAAGGAGAGAGAAATCAATACCTTCCCAAAAAATAGCATAATTGCCAGATGATTCGATATGTGAGTCACACACAGACAGACAGACACACGACGTTTGCCCGCGGGTAGTCCCCGCTACGTGCAATTTACTCGGGCTGGAAAAAAACGGCGAACGGCAAAAACGCGTTCACACAGAGGGGTCGTTTCTCGTCGTTTCTCGTCGTTTCTCGTCGTTTCTTGTCGTCTTGTCCTCCTCGCTGTTTCTCGTATTTCCTTGTCCTGTCGTCGTTTTTTTTTCTTTGTTCTCTTGTCTTCCTCGTCGTCGCTCGTCCTCTTGTCCTCTCGTCGTTTCTTGTCTCCGTCCTCGTCTCTCGTTCTTTCGTCGTTTCTCATTTTGTTGCCACGCCGTTCTCGTCTCTTTCGTCCTCGTTCCTCGTCCTGGCAGCTTCGTTCCTCGCCGTCCTCGTCGTGTCGCGTCCTCCTCGTCGTGTGTTGCTTCTTCCTCGTCATCCTTTTCGGTTCATGCCCTCGTCCCCCTCCCCCCTCCTCGTTTCTTGGCCTCGACCCTCCTCCTCCTCCTCTCGTCGGTCCGCGTCCTCTCTCCAGCCTCGTCCCCCGTTCTCGTCCTCGTCCCTTCTCGCGTCTCGTCCTCGTCGTCCTCGTGTCCTCCCTTTTTCTCCTTTTTTCTTTCAAAAGAAACCTCTCGCGCCGTCTTTTGGAGGCTTAGTGACCCTGCAGGATCCGCGTAAGGCAGGGAAGGAAATGCGAGGGATGGAGAAAAGATTGATAAAGCGTGTGTAATCGAAATAATGATAATAAAATGTGACATAAATCAATAAAAGGATAAAATTCAAATCGTGTGTTTCGGCGCTCTAACTTATTATTATTATTTTTTTTTTTTTTACTGTTCGTATTAATCCTTACGTCGGTTCAGAAATCGTATGTCGAAGAAACTGGCGTAAAAAGAGGGACATCAAAAGCGCGTGTTTTCGGTCCTCCACCCACAACATGAACCACTTTTTGCCCGATGTGTCAGTGCTTCAAGTGCCATTAGTACCTCTAAAGCATTTGGTCAATGAAAAAGACCCATGGACGCTTAATGGAATTCAGTTTAATCTCTGGACCGGTTAGACAATTTAATCATCCAGAGCGTTTGATGTTCCCGTGGTGCCAGAGCGAGCGTCATTATTTATTTATTTAATCATTCATTTATTTATTCATTCATTTATTTATGTTTTTATCTGTTTCATTTTTTTTTATGCTACAAAAAAAAAAAAAAAAAAAACAAGGCGTTTTATGGGTGACGGACTAGGTAGCTCAGAGTTTTTTTTTTCTTGGTTCTCATTTGCATCGGCTACTTTTTGCTCCACTTTTAATTTTTTTTTTTTTTTTTTTTATGATGCGATGCTCGTTAAAATCGCGGACGTCCACATGCGAGGTGATAACTACGTTTCCGCGCGGTGTGACTCTGGTTATGAAGATGGATTTTTTTCCCTTTGTACGGAGAGAGGGAGAGACACACACACACACACACACACACACACACACACACACACACACACACACACACACACACACACACACACACACACACACACACACACACACACACACACACACACACACAACACACACAAACAGACAGACACACAGACACACAGACAGACAGAGTCAGGGCATCGATGGGACCAGAGCATGACCGGCGGCGATAGGTCCGTCGTTGACATGGATGGCAGTTGTCATAATTGATTGTTGTCGACGCATGCAGGGGCCGCGGATCGGGTGTATGGCACGCGCGGGGCACAGGGGCGCTAACTCCCCCCCCTCCTCTCTCTCTCTCTCTTCTCTCTTTCTCTCTCTCTCTCTCTGTCTGCCTGTCTTGCTCTTTCTCTTTCTGTCTTTCTCTCTCTCTCTCTTTCTCTCTCCTCTCTCTCTCTCCCTTCTCTTTCTCTCACTCTCTCCCCCCTTCTTTTTTCTCTTTTCTTCCTCTCTCTCCTCTCTTCTCCCTTCCCTCCTCTCCTCTCCTTTCTCTTCCCCACTCCCCAATTGCCATGCCACCCATTCCTCGAGGCCCCAGTCTTCCCGTAAGCACGTAAGGTTCACACCAACGTCTCGCCGCCAGCGCTCTCTCTCTCTCTCTCTATCTCTCTCTCTCTCTCTCTCTCTCTCTCTCATCTCTCTCTCTCTCTCTCTCTCTGTCTCTCTCTCTCTCTCTCTCTCTCTCTCTCTCTCTCTCTCTCTCCTCTCTCCTCTCTCTCTCTCTCTCTCTCCCTCTCCCTCCCTCTCCCTCTCCTCTCCCTCTCCTCTCCCTCCCTCCTCCTCCCCCCCTCCTCCCTCCCTCCCTCCTCCCTCCCTCCTCTCCTCTCCCTCCTCTCTCTCTCTCTCTCTCTCTCTCTCTCTCTCTCTCTCTCTCTCTCTCTCTCTCTCTCTCTCTCTCTCTCTCTCTCTCTCTCGGATGTCCCTCGTTTTTTTCTCTTGTCCTTGTGCGATCATGGTCAGTCTTTTTTTTTTTTTTTCCTTTTTTTCCTCCTCTGTCTCGCGGTCTCTTCGTTGACGGGGTTACTCGCGGCGACAGTTTTGTCTCGGTGCATATCGCCTAGGGGAGGAGAGAGAGAGAGAGGGGGAGAGGGAGTGGGAGGGAGAGAGGGAGGAGAGATAGGGGGCGAGAGAGAGAAGGAGGGAGGGAGGGAAGGAGGGGGAGAGGGAGAGGGTGTGTGGGAGGGGGAGGGAGAGAGGGGGAGATATATTTATGTATGGTGTATAGACCCAATGCACGCACGCAACCCACATCAAGATCGGCATCACCCCCTTCCCACACAGATAGATAACGAGAGGGCCAGGGGGAGGGAGAAGAGTAGGAGGATTGGAAGGAGGCAGTCGGGAAGGAGAGGGAGGGGCGGTGGTAGGAGGGGTGAAGGACAGTGCAGCATGGCATCGCCCAGACGATAAACATATGTTCCCACGGTGATGCTGTGGAGGTGACCAGTGCAGAGGGATGGGGGAT